TGGACAAGATGAAAGCCAGACATAAATGGAGAGGGGTGGGGGTAGCCAGTGTGCAATCAGCTTGTGTGAGCCGACAGTTGAAAGCCAGACTTGATAAATGGAGAGGTTTGCTGCTTTCAACCTTAGCTCAATCCGTCTTAAAAGGTCTCCCTATTTATTTCTTCTTGATCCTAAAAGCTCATGCCAAAGTTATTGACTCTATGGAAAAGCTTTTGCCCATGAAGAGAACAAAGATGATAGCAACGATTTATGGAGTGGAACCAAATGACTGGCTGCTTAAATCAGTGAAGGCTTCGGCTAGAGCCAGGCCTTGGATCGAGATTGACTGCTTAGACAAGTTTTTCTCAATTTTGTTATGTTCAAAGCCTCAAATGGGAGGAAGATTAGATTTTTGGAAGATACTTGTTTGGATCCTACCCCTTTGGCTATTTTGTTTCCAGATCTTTACTCTCTCCTCAAAAGAGGAGAACTTTATTGTGGTTGGCTGGGTGAATCAAGTTCTCTCTTGGGATTTAGGCTTCAGAAGAAATATGTTTGATAGAGAGATCCAAAGTTGGGCCTTTTTAGGGAGAAGTTGGACAATTTCTATCTAGGGTAGGGGCAGATGGGCTGATTTGGAAAGATGTGGATAGTGGAACTTTTTCAGCAAAATCAGCCTTCTCCCTCCTCACGTCCCCTTTGGCTAGATTGAAAACTCCGGTGGTTAATGCAATCCGGAACTTCAAAATTCCTAAGGTAGTTAAAATTTTCCTTTGGTCCTTGTTCTACGGAAGTCTAAATACTGTTGAGAGACTCCAACAACGCTCTCTATTGGTCCCTTGCCCACTCTGTGTGCAGCTTATGTAGCTCAAATGAGGAGCTTCTGGACCATATCTTCTTACATTGTTCCTTTGCTCAGAATGCTTGGTCTTTTGTTCTTGTATAATTCGGCCTTTCACCAAGTCTTCCCTATAGAATTGTTGATTGGATTGGATTGTGGAGATACTGGAGGCTCATTTCTTAGAGGGAAGACTCAAATCCTTTGGATTTGTGTGGTCTGTGCCCTGTTATGGCTGACTTGGAAAGAAAGAAACAGTAGGCTCCTTGAAGGGAAAAGAGAAAAAGTCCTCTATGGATTCTTTTTGTGATAGTGTACAACACATATCTTCGTGATGGTATATAACCACAAGAAATTATTTTGTAGTTATAGCCTGACTATGATTATTAATGATTGGAAAGCTCTCATTGATCTCCGCCCTCCATCCTAATATATTTCCGTTTCTTATATTAAAAAAAGCTGTTTTGTTGATGTTCATCATTGTTTTATTAAATTTCATCTCTTAATTTCATCCATACACGGACGAAATTTTAGCTAATTACCCGTAGAACTATCTTAGTTGGTTTGTGAATGCTTTTATTCAATCTTATACTTTTTTTTTCGGTTACTTGTAGCCTTATGCAATCTTATACTTCTACCGCACATTATTTATTGACATAATTATTTTCATTATTTAGACTCTAGGTAGATCTAGATTTATCATAGATGGGGTAATCTGCCATGCTTTATCTATTCTACGTCGTGAAGATAATTTTGTATTCCTTAAGGCGAGCTTAGAAACCACTAATAAAATTTTTGTATGCTTACAAATTTATTTTATGTATGAATACAATGGGGATTGATTCGAGTACATTTTCTTTGTTCTATGGTATTGTAAAGTCATAGCTTATCAAAGTTTGAATCAACAATTTCATCTTTATATTTTCTAATTAATACAGTAGTTTCTTGTTATTGTCTATTATTTTTATTCTGTCTGCTATTTGACTATGAAACATTTGGTCGAAAAAATCTTTGAAGAGAAAAACACGGATGTCAGTCCCCAGGTTTTGATTTTTCTT